AGAGGGTGTGTTGGTGTACTGTTAATGTTATTATCAGTAGAGGGTGTGTTGGTGCACTGTTAATATTACTGGCTGCTGGAACTCTGAGAAGCAGTGTGCCATGCACAATTCAGATTTACTCCAGCCTCCGAGAATGGCTGAATTTCTCGTGTACTAGTAGTGAACAAAGCAACCCTTCCCGAGTTCTGGGTAAGAAAAGCGTGTAGACCTGATAGCTGACACCCACTGGGCACATCCCACAGGGACATGCCACAAAGGGCTTGCCTGTATATGTACTCGGCATACCATGCGTGGTTCAGTCCCACGGGCTCTTGTTCCCCTAGATACAATGCAGACAATGAGGGGACTTGTTTCACATGACTTTTTCAATCTTCCATATAGTGGAGGAGAAAATAGCACTTATCTTAGTTCCTTTTCTATTGCTGTGCTAGGATGGATATCATGACCAAGGCAACTTTAGATAGAGTTTATTGTGGCTTACAGAGGATGAGCCCATGACCAGCAGGGTGGGGAGTGTGGCAGCAGGCAGGTAGGCATGGCACTGGAGCACTAGTTCACAATTTACATCTGATTAATAAATATCAGGCAGAGAGGTCTCAATGGGAATGGTGTGTGCCACTGGAACCTCAGTGACCACCCCCGGTGACACAAGGTAACACCTTCTAATACTCAGCAAATAGTTGCACCAAATGGGGACCAAATACAAGAAACCATGCGCGGCCAATACTGCTCAAGAATCTCCCTCTTGATCTAGCTCCACTCCTCATCTGGCCAGAGGACTTGACATTGTTCTTGCTCAGTAATATCCACTGCTTCTCTAGTCACAATAGCTGATAAACGGAAGCAACCCAAATGCCCTTCGACTGACGGATGGATAATACAAATGTGCATACACACAATGGGATAATATTCAGCTGTTAAGAAAAACAAAATCATGAAATTTGCAGGTAAGTATAGTTCTCACCAAGGTGAAGACATTAAGTGGTTGCTGGAGGAAGGGAAGTAAGTAATCCCCCACCCAAGCTCATGCATGCTAGGAGATTTAATTAAATGCAGTAGGCCACAGAGACAAGAGACATGACAGTCAGAGGGGCACCTAGAAGAGGGTAAGGAAGGGAAGGAGAGTAAAAGAGAGCAATGAGGGAGACGATGACTGAAGAACATCATGTGTGTATGAAATTACAAAAGAATCAATTTTTAAAATAAAAGATTTTTGAGTGATATTTTCCTGAAGAAGTGAGATTTAACCTTTAAAAAAAAGTGCTCAGTTTATTTCACAGTGCAGAATGGCATCTAAGTAAAAACAACTGCCAAGGGAGTGACCGTGCCACTTACACAGTACCTACTGCTGTGTGTGAGGCGATGTGTTACCTCCTGGTGACTGCGGGCTGAAAAGGTAGGCCCCTGTCTGTGCAGAGTCTACTATTGAGACAAAAAAAATGAAAACAAAAAACCTCAGGAGAAAAGATGCGTATCTTACTTGATTTCATGCATTATTGTCTGGTTTATGACAAAGTAGTTGGATATACATACACATATATGAACCATGATTATATATATATGTATGTATATATACACATATATGTATGTATATATGGCACACTAAGCAGATAGCAATAGAAATGGTTAATGTTCAGAGATAATTTTAAAACTGAGTTCAAATCTTAATGTGTTTAAAACCTTAATGTGTTAATGCCTTTTTACATTAAAAATAATTTTAATCTAAAGAAAAAGACGTAGCTCTCACCCTTCATCAAAGGACCTTTTTATGGCTGATGGAGACCATGACAGGAAACCACAACTAGTCAATAGCCCAGTTCCCCCAGTATAACCTGCAGTAGCTTTGTAAAATATGTCCATGTTTCTGTAATGATGTATGCGTCCTTCAGATAAAAAAAAAAAGTCTTATAGATAGGTTTAAGAGTTCGGTCGGAAGCAGATGTTGATAGCAGTGTCTATGCTGAACAACCACTTTAGTTGTGCTTTCCCAGCTCGTGGCCTGTGTTGTAGATTGGGACTGCAGAAAGTCCAGACTTGCAGAAACTTGCCAACTTGCAGAGAGAAACTGCTGCTCTCTTAGCACACCACTAGGTATCGTCCGTCAGTTAAATCACCGCATCGTTTCCCGAAAGTTCTCTGGATCCTATGAGTTTAGCATTCTCCTTCATGAACCGGCGAGGGACCACACAGTCACCACGGCGACCCTAGTGTCCTCCGTTGCCCTGGCTCAGTACCGCTTAACCGTGGTTCGGCTGCGCATGCGCCCGCGGGGCGCGGGGAGGGGGAACCGCTGTCGCTCGGCAGTGACGTCAGCCAGGTGCCGGGCATCTCCGGCCCGGCTTCCCGCGAGCGACACTCGGTGGTGCGGGTAGCGTGTGGTTGGGTGTCCGTCGAGCCGACTGTGGTGGACGCCGGGCGGCGAAGGCCGTTCCCGAGCCGCGGCCTCGAGGCGGTTCCCGGCGGCTGGAGCAGCAGGGCGCGGGCCCGGTAATGTTTTACCGCGACCGGCGACGTGGGCCAGGCGAGGAGGTGAGTTCAGCGGGCGGGCGGGCCAGGCGGGGGCAGCGGCCTCCACCCCGCTCGGCCTGGATGCCCACCCTCCGCGAAGCGCTTATCCGCGGACCGGGCCGTCCCGAAACACGCAGGGAGAAGCCGCGGACTCCGAGTCTTTCCCGGACGAACAGAGGGCTTTAGCTCTGGTGTCATCAGGCGTTCCCTGAGCCTGGGCGTTTGGTGGCTCCTTTGGCAGCACTCAGTACAAAATGCCCACCTGACGGGCAGTAGGCGGGATCTGACAGTGAACTTTGTAGAGTTAAACTGTGTTCCACGTGCAGTAAAATCAGGAAACGGGAGCGAAAAGGGTGAAGAGATTGAAAATATTACCGGGAATGGTTTTAGTATTTCTCTCACTGTTGTATCAAGTACTTTTCTGCAATATTCTCAGACTGCAGAAATGCTGGCAACGCGGGTGGCAGCGATTAATTAGGTTCAAGGAAAGGACGGGGCACCAGACTCTTAGGAGTGCGTCTCTGGGTTTGCATTGACCCTCCGACATTTTATCACTTGTAGTAGCTATTTTCAGGATCACATTTGTAAACAAAATCAGCTGTGTTAAACTAACTCTGAGTATTGTTAATTCTTCGCCCAGTGAAAGAAACGTAGCCAAGGTGTTCAGACATGAGCGCTGGTTGTTTACAGTTCTGAAAATACTCAGTGTGTGCTTTTAACAGACGTTAAGGTCTGTCTCCTTGGTATGCCCAAACATTTGTCAGAAATTATTCTTTTGGATGCTTTTCAAAAAAAGTCTTAAAGACTCATACAATACACACATGCTTCATTTACTCTTAACAGTTATTTTGATACCAGCAAGCTCTGTAGTTCCAAGAGTTCTTAACACACGGGGGACGACTCTTTTTAGGGTCAAACCTCCCTTTGACAGAATTCACCGAAGACCATCAGAAAACACAGATATTTAGATTACGATTAATAACAGTAGCAAAATTACTGTTATGAAGTAGCAATGCAAATAATTTTATGTTTGGGGGTCACTACAGCATGAGGAAGGTTGAGAATCACTGACAGAGAGGTAAAAGAAAGCACAGAAAAAGAAAGCACATAACAAAACATACCAGGACAGTGAGCTGAATGGAAGATTCTGTTATTATGAAAATAAACCATGTGGGCTTGTTGGCTAGGTTTAATTTCCACCACTGCCAATATGGAGGTGTGTGTGTATAAAACATACCAGCAGAACCAGCTGGATGGAAATAAGGAAAAAGTTAACTTGGCTGATAATTTAAGGGTTTTCTGCCCTCCTTCCCTTTCTCTCCTCTCACTCAGAATAGACCTAAAACCAGCCATCTAAACCAGGCAAAGAAGTTTTCATCATATTGTTGCCTAAAATTTTAAGACATTTTAATTTGTGATTTTTCATATTGAGAGATTAGTTTACTTCCTGAATTAACTCCTGATGTTACCCAAATACTTTTTGCGTTAATCATAATGCTGTCGCCTTTTATTGAACAAATTCAGAAAAGAGCCTATATTTCATAAATACACTGTTTGGTAATGAAACGAATCATTTTAAATTAGTAATTTATCGTATTGGAAGCTATTTTTTAAATTGATGTATTTTATTTGTATGAATGTTTTGCTTGTGTGTGTCTATGTGTACCGTGTGTGTGTGTGTATGTGTTTGTGTGTACACACCACATGTGGGCTTGGTGCCTATGGGAGTCAAAAGAAGGCATTAGATCCCCTGGCCCTGGAGTTACTAATGGGTGTGAACCACTGTGTAAGTTCTGGGAACTGAATTCCCATCCACTATGAGACCAGCCTGTGTTGTTAACCACCCTGCCATCTCTCCAGCCCTTGAAGCTAATTTTTAGAATATTACTTGGTAAGTGTGTGACATATGCAAGCATGCATTTGCAAATGTGCTCACCCACAAGTTCCTTGCCAAGATCAGAGGTCAGCATCAGGTGTCTCACTTTCCACTTTTTCTTTTTGAGATAGGATCTCCTGTTAACAGTTTAGGCTAGACTGGATAGCTAATGAGCGTCCTGGGTCTGCCTATCTGTACCCATCTCTGTCTCCCAACTGTGGGGTTACAGATGTGTGCTTCTGATTTTTTATTTGGGTTTTGGGGATCCAAACTCAGGCCCTCATGCCTGAGTAGCAAGCATTCACTGAACCATTTTTGAAAACCCAGATTTTACTTTCGGTATTTTGTGTCACAGCACTTTTAGGGATGGAAAAACCAGAAACTTAACAAGTAATTGAAATTCTGAGGTGACTTTTTTGTTCTTAAATTAGAATCATCTTCTGGCCTTTGTTTTTTGTAGCAGTCAGAATTTCATCCCCAAATTGGAAAGAAAGCAAAATTCCTGTTTTCAGCATGAGTTTCTTGATAACATTCCCACAAAAGATCACTGATGTCTTACCTAGTTTGTATAGTTACTGATCTTAGAACCTGGTGGCTGTTTTGAAGAGTCTCTAACTTGATATCATAAAGCGTTATTACTAAACAACTGCTAGTCATTTCTTGGACAGTGAAATTATTAGAACGGTACCAGGGTTGGACATCAATCACAAGGTGACTCTTTTATAATCTATTGCCCTTAAGCTTTCTTTTTTCTTTTAATTTTGTGTTTGTTTACATTTAATATGTGTACCACATGTATGTCAAGTGCCCTCAGAGGCCAGAAGAGGGTGTCAGATCCCCTGAAACTGGAGTTAAAGGTGACTGAGTCTCCATATGGATGGTGGGAATTAAACCAGACTCTGCAAGAAGAGCAAGTGCTCTGGCCTGCTGTGCAGTCTCTCTATTTCCACTCCAAGTCATTTTTATAAAGGACATCTCCTGTTCTTGCATTTTCACTGGTAAAATTGGGCTGTTGTGTGGACTAAGATGGTGCATAGGGTTATGTTTATGAACGATTAGCAACAGAGTTTGTGTTGTGAGGAGGCTGCTTGTTAGTTCCCAGCTGCTAAGCCCCGAAATAATCGCACAAAAACTGTATTATTTAAATTATTGCTTGATCCATTAGCTCTAGCTCCTTATTTGCTAACTCTTACATTTTAATTTAACCCGTTTCTAGTAATCTGTATATCACCACATGGCAGTGGCTTATCGGGTAAAGTTCTGTCTGGCTCCGGCGGGGCTACATGGCTTCTCTCTGAGTCCTCCTTCTTTCTCCCAGCATTCAGCCTAGCTTTCCCCACCTACCTCTATTCCCTGTGCAGGCCCAAGACAGTTTCTTTATTAGCCAGTGGTATTCACAGCATGCAAAAGGGAATCCCACATCAAGTTTGAATATTTTACCAGTTGTGTTCTGTCGGTATGTACTGTCTCAAATCTGGAGTTTTCAGCCCATTACAAAGTTTACTATGCATAAGTTCTATAGCTGGGTAGCTGCTTGTTGGTTCCTGGCCACCCAGACCCAAGTAATCACACAGAAACTATTTTAGCTTAGTCGTCTTTCTGCTAGCTCTTACATCTTGAATTAACCCATTCCTATTACTTTACATTTTATTATGAGGCTCATGGTTTACTGGTAAGGTTCTTGGGGAGTCTTTCTCCTTTGGCAGCTACATGACGTCTCCTCGACTTCACATAAGTTCTCTCTTTATCTTTGTTTGGATTTCCCGCCTGGTTTTATTTTGCCCTGCCGTAGGCCCAAAGCAGATTCCTTATTAACCAATTGTAATAAAACATATTCACAGCATACAGAGGGGAATCCCACATCAAAGCTCCACTTCATTTGTCCTCAGCTTCCTTTCCACCCAGATGGCACAGACCAGAGGTTTCTTCTGAGATCTCTGCTCAAGCCTCATGAGAGTGTTCTGTGGTGCTTGCTCCTGTCAGTTGTGTGAAGATCATTTTAGCATAGGGTTAACATAGCAATTTCCTTTTGCTCTGTCAACTTTGATGTTTCCTTTATGTTCCCCCATTTTGGCTACTTGTTTATTTTTCTGAAAACAGTATTAATCAACTGCTGTAAAGGTAAAATTTAATCGATTCATGGTGAGAATGAACTTATCTTTGTTACTGGCCTGATCTGTTCCCACCTTGGAGGAAAAATGATTGACAATGTCCAAATTCTCATAGGATATTTGAGCAACAAAGACAAGGTTATGTTTTATTTGTCCTTTTCTTTTGTGACAATACCTTGTTATTTATTATTTCACTTTTCGTTTTTGTGCAGACTAAAGTGGTATAGAAGGAACTGTTCTCAACGAGACTTACCTGGAATCTAGTGCTGCTTTCAGTTCTGCCCCTAGGGCAGTGTTTTCAACCTGTGAGTCGAGACTCCTTTGGAGTTGAATAATCCTTTTACAGGGTCACCTAAGGCCATCAGAAAATACAGATATTTACATTATGATTATAACAGTATCACAATTATAGTCATGAAGTAGCAAAAAAATAATTTTATGGTTGGGGGTCACCACAGTATGAGGAACTGTATTAAAGGGTTGCAGCATTAGGAAGGTTGAGAACCACTGCCCTAGGGGATGGATATTTATTATCTCAAACTTGTAAAAGGAACGTTGGGCCGCTTCCCACTGCCCGCCCAGCTAGCTTTATCCAAAATGATTACACAGAAACTGTATTCTTTTAAACATTGCCTGGCCCATTGTCTTCAGCCCCTTATTAGCTAACTCTCACATATTAATTAACCCATTTCTAATAATCTGTGTAGCACCACGAGGTAATGGCTTACCGGGAAGATCCTAATGTGCGTCTGCCTCGGAGAGGAGAGTCATGGCGACTGCCTGCCTCTGCTTTCTTTCTCCCACAATTCTGTTCTGTCTACTCCACCCACCTAAGGACTGACCTATCAAAAAGGCCAAGGCAGTCTCTTTATTAACCAGTGAAAGTAACAATAGACAGATGATCCTCTTCCATCATTTCCCCTTTTTCTGTTTAAACAAAAAAAGAAAGGCTTTCATTTTAACATAGTAAAATTGTATATAGCAAAACAGTTCTAAAGCAAGAATTACAGTCATAATATTTATATCTATTTTAT